TTTTCTTTTTATTTAGAACAAGAGAAGACTAAGACGACGTATAATAACACACTTCAAATGTCTTTAAGGTTTCTGTGATAATACATTTCTTGTATTACTAAAAGGGAGAAAGGGGAGTTACTAGCTTTTAATTCCATGTGGCATCTGCAGAAATGAACGTCTACATTGTAGATGTCTACATTTATCTCAGTTAACTGGTGCTCACTCTATTAGAGATAAGGGAAATAGATACTTAAGGAGTGTGATTAAACATATCCTAATACAGATATCTGAAGTAGGTAAAAATTACTTGCTTCTCTCTCACTCTTTCATTCTCTCTCTGCCTCTCTCTCAAATATCAAAAGGACTAACTCTGCAGGCCTTTAAAGTTAGGTGAGATGAATCGCACCTGAAACTCTCATAGACTTTAGTTTAGCCGTATAGCAGATTATTAATTTGAGGAAATATAATTTCTGTTTCAGGAATGAGGAATTGAAGCAAAGCATCCTCTGCAGTCTGAGGATCAGGCCCTGACTTACTCCAGGATCCTTTCCAGGGGAGACTGAAGAAATTTGGGACCAGAACTCATGTCTGTTGTGGTCCAGCACCAGTGCCTTAACTGCAGACATTGCCTGGGTGAGATGAGGGTGATATGAAGAGATGTCAAAACATCCATCTGTCTTTTGAGAAGTCTTCTTTGGGACTCCAGGACACCTGAGCAGATTACTCTTATGTTTTCAATGTCAGGTATCATTCTTAAAATAGTAAGGACACTTATCAGAAAATTCACTGTGAATGGTAGTGAGAAGTTTGGGTGTATGTTTTGGCAAATGAAACATGTCCTACTTTTGGGTCACTGAAAGGTGTCAGTCACCAGACCCACTCATTCCATTGTCTCCAATGGGCTTTGGATAAAGGTTTTTAGGCATGGCTACTCCTAGCACATCCTGAAGAAAATCACACAATCCTGGGCCTGCTCTTTATAACTAAAGGCAAATATGTAATAAAAATAAATAGGTATCTTAAACAAGGGCTGCTTTAATTTCTCCTAGAAACAGGGCTAGCTGAGACAACAGTGTACTAGATAGCACCACTTCTGCATGGAAACGATCCACTCAGTATATATACCCGAGGAAGGAGAGAGGGTAAAGTGTCCTCTGGGTACATAAAATGGTAAATAAAACTCTTTAACCTGCAACAGTAGTTCTCCAGACAGTTACAAAACCACAGAATTCCAGGAAAGCCTGCCAGATAGCCACCAAGTCACAACAATAGTGCCTGCTTTGGAAAAAATAGCAGGGAGTAGACTCAAAACCTGATTTTGATTTGGAAAGGCTTGCGAGTAAAACATGTCCAGATTTACCAAACTGTCAGACATGAGGTGTTTGCCTCATTTCCTGCCATTGTCTCAAATACCCAGATTTTGCCTTGAACCAAGAGGAGGACGCTGTCCTTACACTTCCAGAGGAGTTAGAGCATGTGCAAACTAGGTGCTCCCAGATTTTCATCTAGATCTTGCCAGATGTTAGCTGACTCCCTCTGACAGATGCTGATGTTACAACCAATTAGTAGGCTCTTCTACATACTGGAACTATTTATGGCTAGAGTGTTGCATCATTAGACCTTCATCGCCTTCTGGTTCAAGGTGGTGAAAACAGAACTTGACTTTGAGTTAGTCTGCCTGTAGATGAGAAGTCTGTATTTATATACCAGCAGAGCATTCTGTCAACTCCTTCCTAGCTGGATACACAGCTTTTAGTAGCAAAAAAGCATTTCCAATGTTAAAAAAGAATCTCTGATGAAGGACATTGCCCTGGTTTCAGCTGGGATAGAGTTAATTTTCTTTCTAGTAGCTGGCATAGTGCTGTGGTTTGGGTTCAGGATGAGAAGAATGTTGATAACACACCAATGTTTTCAGTTGTTGCTAAGTAGTTTTTAGACTAAGTCCAGGATTTTTCAGCTTCTGATGCCCAGCCAGCAAAAAGGCTGGAGGGGCACAAGAAGTTGGGAGGGGACACAGCCAGGGCAGCTGACCCAAACTGGCCAATGGAGTATTCCATACCATGGGACATCATGCCCAGTATATAAACTGGGGGGAGTGAAGCTGGGAGGGATCACTGCTCAGGAACTAACTGGGCATCGATCAGCAAGTGGTGAGCAATTGCATTGTCCATCACTTGTTTTGTATATTCCAATCCTTTTATTATTATTCTTGTCATGGTATTATTGCTATTACTATCATTATTAGTTTCTTCCTTTCTGTTCTATTAAACTGTTCTTATCTCAACCCACGAGTTTTACCTTTTTCCTTCCAATTCTCTCCCCCATCCCACTGGGTGGGGGGGAGTGAGTGAGCGGCTGCGTGGTGCTGAGTTGCCAGCCGGAGTTAAACCCCGACAGACATGTTTTGCTGCTGTAAGCTTCTGTGCAGTGGAACTTCTGCCAGCACAGAAATGCTGGAAGGTGACAATTCTTCACACCTCTGAGCTAACAAAAATATTCCCATAAATTATTCTAACATTCGGACTGTGCTTGAACAGTGTCGTATTTTGTAATCCTCATCAGGCTGAGGAAATATGTATGGAATCAAGCATAGGAGTGAAAAAAATGTCAAGGGGGCTTGCCTGTAAGCCACAAATTGGAGATGAATGCTGCAAAGGACATCTACAACTTGGGGTTAAACTGAATGATTAAACTGTTCCATGTGATAGATTTGCAGGATATTAAAAGTTCATGCAAAAGCTCTGTTGTCTTTCAGATTTATTCCTTTTAATCAAACACAGTTTTGCATTACTAATGCATTACCCTCTGTACAATAAAATAAGAAGGAAAAAAGCAGTCACTTGTGGTAACCAATATGTTGAGAAACATCTCCTGACATAAGAAATAGTGACACCTGCACAGGAACCACTCCTAAAACCAGAGCACTAACTTAGGAGTCTACTTAAAAAAAAAAAAAGATTACATTTTTATGTTTTCTGATACATTGTTGGGTGAGGGAGGAAAGTCTCCTCCATCATACGGCCAGAGTTGCACAGCCACATCTGCAGAAGAGGTGAATCCATTCTTGCTTTGAAATTACTGGGTTTGTGTAATTTCTGTGCTTCAGAAGCAGTAGTGGTTAGAAACTCCACCTTACTCCTCAGTGTTTCAGCTGTGTGCAAAAATCACAAGGGCTACATTTCAACTTTTGCCAAAATAAACAGCATTTGACCCTGCAGACATAACTTTGTGGGAAACTGGAGTTATCATATGTGCCTGCACAAAGAATGCTGTGTATCAGTAAATAAAAATAACATGGTTTAACATATACTTCCTTTGTTTTCTTCAGTATAGGCTTCTGGAATATGTTTACATTGGGAAGGACTTTTTGGAAAAGATAGATCAATGGTTATGCATGCCCTAAAATAAAAATTGCTGTTTTAAAGTCAATGAATAAAATAAAAAAATCTTGTGTTTCATTCAAAATTTGTCAACAAAACAAATAAAAGCCTTAATTTGATTTTAATTTGGCAGCTTGGGTTTTCCTCCTTTACTTCCATCACTTTATGCAGAAGTGGGAGAAGAGAAGAAAGCAGAAAAGTGTTAATGATGCAAAACAGAAAGATAAAAATGTCATTTGATTTTAAATGATCATTGCCGTTACTGTGGAAAAAACCAAAAATCTGACGATAAGCATTTTAAAGAGTCATTTTCAGTTACACGTGTTGAGCATTGGGTTGCCCATCAGTAACAGAATGATTAGTCAAGACAGGCCATTTCCTTAATGTGTGAGACAGTATTTCCACGCCAACCTGTTACCTCAACTTTTCCTAAAAATTGCCTTTCTTCAAGACTTGTTATTGATGCGGGGTGTCAGAATACCTTTGTTAGTCCTAGGGAACAGCCCCATGGTTGCATTGCACCGCCCCAAAACCAGACGACTGAGCCCACGACCAGCCCGTGAACCTTCAGACATCACCGACACGTCAGCGCCGGAGGGAGTCTCATTTCCTCACCGGTATCTCCTGGTGCCCCCCTGTCCCCTTGACGTGTGGTTAAACTGAGATATAATTATAAAGGAGGTGTGGCTACCAAATGTGTTGTTATAATTAACAGGTCTTAGCGCTTCATAGGCTCTTTCTCGGCGTTCAATAATTAATCTTGCTTGCCCTGACTATGTCAGTTTATCTCTGCGTTGCAGTCAGTGAGACTGAAGCACGGAGGTTAAATGTCTTGCTTGCAGCTCGGAGTGGAGACAGTAGCTGTCAAGTAGCTTCTTAATGAGAAAGTCTGTCTCCTGTTTTTCACAGTTTAACTGTAGCCCTTACACTTAGAGGAATCCAATTTTTGGCAGCCTGTCCTAGAAGAGCCGGGAGCAGCCCAGGGGTGGGGAACATCCTCATCCTCTCCCTGCTCTGATGGCCTTTTGCTGCTTGGTCTTGCTCAAGCCTCTTGCTACAGTTTTGTTTCTTGGGCATTAATTGGGTATTCTGACAACACAAATTTCTAATGGCGTATCAAGATTTCCAACCCTTGCTTTCTATTTAGTATAAAGTCTTAGCTTTAGCTGCTTAACCTGTTGCTATTGCAGGTGTGATATGTTAAGGAGAAGAGTAAGGCAAGATTTATGGAAGAGCTGATGGAGAAAAACAGGGAAGATTTAGGCCCACGACTCTGAACAAGACTTTGTGATACTGAAAGTGAAAGACATTCCCTTTTGCTTAGCCCAAAGGCTGATTCTCAGACAGCCAAATTAGATGACGTGACTACACAGTTGGTGCATTTTAAATATAAAAAATGTTCTTTCTTCAGAAGCAGTAAAAGACTCTTAAAGTTACTTCATAACATTTGTTCAAAACTCTGTGTTTAAAGTCCTTGCATGTAAGTTAACTGCTGAAGAGCTCTTACATCATTCTCCACAGATAAGACTTAGACTTGTACCGTAGTAGTTGCTCTTATCATCTCTCGGCATATGTGCTTCTTGTGAGTATGTCTGGAACCAGGATAGAAATTGGAAGAAATTCTTGGTGTTACTAGCTTCTTGCCTTAACTACACCTAAAAAGTTGCACTATTCTGTAGATGTAACTTCAGCACATACGAAAAGGCACTTGCTAGTACCACAAAGGAAACCACTCTCAGTATAAAAAACAAATTTGTGAAAATACAGCCAGAGAATGGAGAAAAATGTTGTTTGTCATGCTGGATCTCAGTGAATGTCATGTTGCTTTTACTTCGCCTGTATATGGGAAACTCATATCCAGAAGCATCTCAGCCTTCCCACGGATATGAACAACGAAGTGGAGTGACCCAAGCTCTCCTTGAAGTCTGTACTGAGAAACAGGATCATCCAGGTAGGATTTCATCTCACCTGCTATTTCTCCTATTCCACATCAATAGGGAAGCAGAATCTTTTGAAACCTCCTATGAAAATAGGAAGGTTAATGCCTGGATACCCTGCAGCAGCCCAGCAGGATGCATGATGCTCCAGGGTGGCACTTTGTGATGCAGAAGATCTCTTCCAGCTCCTGCTGCTGCCATGCTCAAATATCATAGCTGGATATCCAGAGCACAAAAGCTGGCTTTTTGGGGAGGGAGCTCTCTCCGAAATCTCTGATAGTAAAGTCATTCCCCCTTAAATATTCATTGGCCCAGAGAGAGAGGGAGGAAAGAGAAAGTGTGTGCGTGGAAGGAGTTTTAACACCCATCTCCTTGGTTGTAAGCAGAAATTAAATCTTGGAAAATATTACAGAAAACACCTGAGAGTTTTGCCAAAATTATGTATCCTCCTGTAAGAGAGCTGGGGTTTTATAGAATAGTGTTTTCCGAGGAAAACATAGATTTCTCAGGAAATTTTCACCCAGCTTTGGTTTGAATTAAACGTTCTACAAATATTGCTGTGGTTGTAGGAGCCTTGAATGGTGGCACACAGTCATGATGTTGAAACTGAGCTTCAGGCAGGTAGAAAATCAAGGCTACCTGAATTAGTCACTGATATCCTGGAAACCACAAATTGCCTTAATTTGATGGTATAAATTGCTCTAATATGATAGTAATTTGGCTAACAGAGACAGGATGAAACAATGGAGGGGAAGAAACCTCTACGAAGCTGTTTCTCTGTGTAGTGATTATTTATTCACCCAGTGTTAGCTGGATGCTGTGCAAGGAAGTGTTAAAATCAGGCCAGGGTAGGCCCAGAATTTTAATTTCCAGTAAAAGGAGAAGCTCTTTATACAGGCAGCAAAACAAAAAACCGATGCAGCTGAAAGTCTGGGTATGGTTCACCCTCTTGTGTTTTTAACCAGAATTGCAGTCCTATGGAGAAAATGATTTTTTACTGGTCTAAAATAGGAAGGGAAGGTGGTAAGTGGGATCAGTCCTGCTCAGGGCTGGTATATGTGACTCAAGACCTATGGGAGACCAGCACCCACCTTGAGGAGCACCTGGGGGTCCGGTGGGACATGCTACTGCATTCTGCATGGCACTAGGATATTTTTATTTCTTTTTTGTAGCAGCATTTTTTTCTACATGTTGCAATATGAATTCCAAGCAAGTGTGGGACTTACTCATAAAGAGGATGGGAAGGGATATATATACCTCTTCCTTTGTATGAATGCTTTTAAAAAGCTTTGTATTTCTCAACCGTTGGTGCCATATGACAAAAATTATCATTTATCACCAGCATACACAGATGTATCAGAAGCTTTGTCTTTAGGCCACAGAGTAAAATTGGCAGATTCAACGTATGCCTCTTATTTTGGCCATACAAAAAAATGCATCACTTTTTGCTTGTCTTTCTTTTCCTGTCTCATCCCCACTCACATGCAGTATCAGAGAGCCTTGAAATATCCATAAGGAATTTTCCAAATGAAAAAATTGAATTATAAGTAACTTCAATGAAAAGCTCTGTTTGTGAACTGGTGGTAAATCATGTATTTATTTAGCAGGAATACATTCCATTGATAATCAAAGAAAAGGTAACAGAAGAAAGTTAAGTGGCATTTAATATATTTTGTAAAAAAAAAAAGAATTGTTTTAAAAGTGTGTTTCCCATTAAAAAGAAATGAATCAGTAGAAGATCCACTGCAAGGAAAACCACAAAGTAACACCTTAGTAGCTTAAGGATGATTTCTACAAAGTCTAAAATAACATCAGAGGTTATTTTGAGCTACCAGACTTATTTAAGACTGAAGTAATAGTGAGATTTCAGAAAAGGATGTTACCTATAGGTCAATCCGAGCCGATGCACTGAGAGTGAATACACTTCACAGTGAGTTCTACTCTTTCCTAATAATTAAGTCTCACAGCAGCTATAATGACATCCGCCAGGACATTATATGATTTTAGTGGTGCATCTACAGGTAGCAGGACACTTCTCCTTCACAAATGAATTGTTACAGCTAAACAACGTTTTCAGATTTCTGCAGTTTCCAAAGACGTCTTGATACTTGCAAGGATTGGCTAAATACAAGAGATGGAAATAAAACCAAGAAATATTGATTGAAAACCAAGTCCTGCTCTGATATTTCTGCATTTTCCAAAAATTCCAAATGTTCATGTCTGTATAGCCTTTGTACATTCACTCTGCTGTTAAAATTGCGTGAATATTACAGAAAAGGGAATGCAGGCAGAAAGGTGGTATCTTATAGTTCCCATCTATTTGTATGCTTTGACTTGCTCCACATGGAAGTCTGCAGAACCCAGGAGCCCATGCAGATCTTCACGTACATATAGATATGTGAAGCCTGACAATCTGTTCGTGCCCTTAGAGCCGTACATCAAGACATTTTGTCTTGAGCTTTCCAGAAGAGGGCAGCGGAAGATTGACGGTGTGATAACGCACCGATTGCTCAAGGGCAACACAATTTATCCGCTGTCGCAGGATGGTTGAGGTTGGAAGGGACCACTGGAGGTCATCTGGTCCAACCGCCCTGCTCAAGGGTGTGCCTGTTTTGCTGGGATATTTAACGACTGTTATTTCTGGGGGTAGATGAAAGAGGCAGTTCTAGGATCTTTTGTCCAAATTAGCAAGAAGTAACTATGCAAAAGTAAAATGCTACAAAGGAGCAAATTATCTGAGGTAATGCAATGGTTGTTGTAAGGAGGAAAATACATTCACTTACTGCAAAGTCCTCTGTCACAGTGGCCAGGACAGTCTGCACATTTTGGTCCACTTTTGTAAGGTGTAGCTATTTGCATTGCATTATTTCCTCTGAAATTTGAAAGAAACACAACACAAAACAAGATCAAAGTGCAACTCTGAGCCATTAACAAGAGTGTATGTTATTTATCACACTTAAAGGCATCCAGAAGTTTTTGGATAAAATTATTTTCATAGCCACTCATGTTTTAGTTTCAGATATTCATAGAATACAAGAACTTTGATTTTAAATAAGAGGGACACTAAGGTTTAGAGAAAGAAAATTAATTGATTATTTGCATTTATATAGCTTTATCAGTTAAAAAAACCCCAACCCTATGTGCTTCCTAGGTCTGCTTTTCTAATGGCTTTCAAGTGATTGTGGCTTATAAGGAAATAACCTCAGCAGATGCCTTCTGACATGCAGCTGTTTCAGATATGCAATTTACATCTGTGAATATTTATTTGCCATTGGCTTTCACTTTGCATCTAACTTTCTTTTTTGTGGTCAAAGTTATAGGATGATTTGTGCACGATGCCTGATTCTGACAGAGATAGGCCTTTCTTTGTTCACATGCTAAAATTTGCCTCATATCTGTTTCAATGTGAAATAAAAGAAATATTACTGTTTAACCTGATGTTAAACCCATAATTCACACCCGCATTTTTAAAATTATAAATAGTTAAAATAATAAACTGTAATCATTTTATCCTACATATGACCAATAGACTGCAGGAGGTTTTGAAAACATATCCATAATTATTGCATCTTAAATGACTAAAAAGGTAGTACGTACGCAGGACAGTATTGGCAAACATAAAAGTAGTTGAACTGGTTCTTATTACAGTAGGCAACTGCACATCCAATCTGGTAACTGTTGTACCAGATTAGCTGTAGAATAAAAAATAAACACATTATTTCAGAGTCATATTTTACTGAATTCTCATCAAAGAGATCACAAAATAACAGAACTAGAACATAATTTTTTTTTCATTTTGTCTATTTAGCTTTTAAATTCACAGTTTAGCTGACAAAAATAATAAATAGAAAAATGAATTAAACATGTACACCAGTTTCAAAATGGTTTTGAACATTTTGTGGCAGGACACGAAAGTTTAAATTCAGATATTTTAATCACAGATATTTTGCTTTGATAATTCTTAATTAGATATTTCAATCCCTATATAGAAAATATTTATTTCTAAATTAAAGGTATTGAATTTTTTTTTCTACAGAATGATATTTCTCTTCTGGACAGCTCTTCCAAAATACTGATTCCATTGCCTCAGAATTAGATGAAAAAGTTTTGATTTATCGTTCATCTTTGGATCAGAGTGTGAATGATAGATAATGGTTTGATGACAATGATAATTTTTTTTTCTGACGTTAAATATCTCCTGACTCCCTGAAGTGTACTCCTGTAATTCTAGTGTGTCACTGCAGTTTGTTTCAATTCTTCATACCTGAGTATAGTTCTCGATATTGGCATTTTTCGCGGTTGCTCCAAATCCATACTTGAAATTGGAGGACTGACTGTACCAGACTTTAATTGCTTCAGCCCATGTTTTTGGGTAAGATGATAGTAATACATTCTCACCACAGGTGACACCTGAAATAGAAATAAGTCTATTTTATTACTTAGGAGAGAAGCAAGCTGTAGGGTGGGAGGTAAGACAGAGGGGTTGTAGCTACATCCTAAAAAAATCTCTACGATGCCAACCTATTTGCACTGTGATTTTAAGAAGTGGACAGTACTTCTGATCTTATGAAAACTGCAGGAAATGTTACTCTGATTTTGATGAGCTTTCAGTCACCGATACTTATATGACCACAAAATGTTACACAAAAATGTCTGTACTTAGTCATACCAACGGTTTCCTGCAGGAGCCAAAAGCAGACACTTCAAGAAAGGTACAAATATAGGGCAAGTTCACAGCATCCCTCTCTCTCACGTTCCAAAGATGATGTTTTTGTGTTTAATAATCCTAAAAAGATACTCTACAACAGATTAAAAGTTATCCTTATTTCTAGTTCATATGCACAGGGATCATCTGCAAATTGTCATTAACCCATCAGCTTAGGCTCCATATTTGTCACGTACCGTTAACGATCCTCTGATCTCTTGGACTGATTTTCATCCCACACTTATTTGCCCATTTCTGAGCATTTTTGGCAGCTTCCTCACTCCACACCTGAAAAACACAAAGGAAGAAATATCCAGGTAACAGATATGTTAGTGCAGTCCATGAGAAGAAAAAAAATGGGAGCAATTTGGACGTTGTGCACTGAATGCTCCCATGGTCCTCAACAGAAAGCAGAGGAGTCATGGCAGTTTACACTACTGGGGCATGGGCACCACATTTCTTCAGCTCTTAAAGGTTGCAGAGCAGGTTATTCTGCACAGTATCACACTGTCCTGATCTCCAGACGGCCCTGATGAATAGGAATTTTATAACATGCTGTTACTTTCTTTTGGCTTTGTGAGTTAACATTGCAGGGTGCAGTGGACTAAACGGTATAAAACTCATTTTGAGCCATTACTGCATTTTGTACCTTATCCCCAGTTTAAATACTTTCCCTGGAAAGGCTGGCAGTTGCTGTCTATTGCAATGAGCAGACATAAGGCAAGAACTTGTGATCCACTGTGCAGGCTACGTTAACATACGTTTGACAGCAATAAATAGATGTGGTTGTGGCAAGCCTGTGTTTGTAGCTCCTGTAGGCAAATAACCTGAGACATGGAACATTTCCGATGTTGCTTAACTGAGTTTTTTGCTAAGTAGAGAAGCTAAGGTATGTTGGTTAGAAGAGAGATTTTGAATAGTGCTTGTGGCCCGTCCTGAGACCTTTGCAATGATTTTACAAGTGCTTGCAGCATCGAGGTGTGCAAAATTAACCATGAAGCCTGCAGAAACTAAGAGAGAAAATTCTGATTTCTTCATCTCAATCCCAGAGCACCTTTCCTGCCCTGTCTCTTCGCTAAGTGTGGGCTGTTTAGAAGGCTACCATCTTCTGCGAATGACGTAGAAAGCAGGGTAGTTGCAGTGCATAGCTTACCATCTTCAGCATGTTCCTGGCTGTGGGAACCACAGATCTCCGTATTTCATTGTGTTGCTCAAGGATCTGTTTTTGGTTTTGAAACTTAAAATGAGAAAAGGAGGAAACTCCCATTTTTTCATAGTGAAAATCCTGGAAAACAATAACAATGAAGGTTCCAGTTATCAGAATTTTAATAAGCAAGATAAATTATGAGCTGCTTGTTAAAGTAAAGCTTCTTGGTTATTCCCAACTTTCCTTTCTTGGTTGTTCTATCCTTACAATTTTTTTTTCTTCCTTCCTTGATTTGAACTGCACTTTTTATTAGGAGATATGGCCCTAAATGAAATTTGTAGATAGGAATTCTACCTTCAGATGCCTCCACATCAAACACCGAGAAAGCTTAGCTCTGGATCAAAATCTGAAGACTGGCTTTGATCTCTTGTGTGCACTATAAAAGTCCCTAGCTCTTGTTATTTGTAAGCTTTGGAAGTGTGTGTAGCTGGATCAGAATTTAGGACTGTTTGCAGACCATCTTCTGAAATACCTAAGGTCAAGAAAGCAATGCATGATTTAGATTGTCTCTTATATAGTGACATCAGGTCATGAATCCTTGCAAAGAAAAAGAGTTACAAAGCTTACATTGGAGTTTTCAGACTCAAACATCCCTCAGGAAAGGATTCTTTCCACTTTATGTCTAAAAATGGACATCTCAGTCTAAGCTAGACAGCTGCATTCTCCTTGTCATTACTGGAGAGGGCAGAGGTAGCTCATCCCACAAAATCTGAATGCCTTTTTAGGACTGGAAGAACCATTCTTTACAGGTACATCTTTCTCCTTCCTCTGTAAAGAGAGGCTGGCAGGGATCTAGACAACTAATACTTTGATGCTTAAGTCAGTGAGATGAGTTCCACTGTTGGTGTCATGGTCTCTTTTCTAGGCACTGATTAATCTTATTTTATTTTAGATATCTATACCATAGATATAAATATCTAAAAGTCATCTCAGTTTGCCTTTATGGTCAATGAGAAAAGCATAAAATGAGAGAGACTGAATTCTGAAATGTCCAAGTAATATGAATGAATCCCAGTCCTTTGCCTTCAGAGCTCAATTCTAGGCTTTAAAGGCTGTACTCAGTGGCTTAAAATAGCACTTAATGCCATTTTAAATGCCCAGGGAGCACTACCTAGCCTCAGACTGCTGCTCCAGAAAGGTATAGCTGTCTGTACAGCCACCCATGAAAGGCTCAGATACGCTGAAGAGTCCCACGCTGCACTAAGACAC